AAGGCTTGTTCGCTTGCGTCTGCCTCCGTCTAGTTGTGTAGTTCGCGCGTTGCCGCGCAACAGGAAGTAGCCAGTTGCGCGTACATCGTGCATTTCCGCGATCATGTGTTCGAGGGTACTGGCGCACTGTCGGGTGACTGTGTATTATCGTTGCTGCGTGTTTTACAGAGAACGCGTGTCGTTAGGAGCCCTGCAGGTTGGTTGAGGAGGTCGTTGCTGCTCTGTGAAGGCGCGCTGTCCTTCGGCAGTGGGGGTGCGCGGTTTCTCCGGATCGTTCCTCGACCCGCTATTTAGAGAAACTTGTTCCAGTCCAGTCCTGGTCAGTTCGCACAGGCCTGTTCCTCGTTTTCCAGAGGATAGTTGTGCGCTGTAGGCTGCAGAAGTTCACCCTGGGCAGAAGAAGATGCGTTGCTTTGTTTGTGCACGTGTGCTTGCTTGCTTGCTTGCTTGCGCGCGCGTGTGTGCGTGCGCGCGCACGCGTGTGTGTGTGTGCGTGAGAGAGAGAGAGAGAGAGAGAGAGAGAGTGTGTGTGTGTGTGTATGCATGTGTGCGCGCGTGCTTGCGAGCGTGCGTGCGTGCGTGGCTGTGTGTGTGTGTGTGGGTGTGGGTGTCCGTGTTTGGCCGCCGCGTCTTTCGCGGCCGACTTGGGCCGGCTGCAGGTCCGTCGTCGCCGATGAGCATGGCTGGCGTCGCTGGGCGCCCCAGCCATCTCTCTTTCCCTTCTTTCAGGAGGGGAAGAAACACACAGACACAATTAATCGTCGATTCCCCCGAAAATATGCGAAACTATGGGAAGTGGTGGGGAAGACAAAACACAGAAAATATGGGAAAATATGGGGAATATCTTTATTTGTGTGTATTTATTTGTGTGTCCCAGGGCCCCTTTATTCTTGCTCCTCGCCCTTTCCTGTCCCCTTTCTCTGCTGTGCCCCCATCGGCCGCCTCACGGTCTGCGCGCCTGGCCTCCGCCTGGCACGGCCTGCCTGGTGTCGCGCTGCAGCTGCAGGGCTGTCTGGGGCCGGTGCATGCTGAGGCACCCAGCTACCTTTTAGTCCCGTCCGCGCTCTTCTCAGGAGGGGAAAAACACACAGGCACAATCAATCGTCGATTCCCCAGGAGATATGGGGAAATATTGGAAGTGGGGGGGAAGACAGAAGCCCAGAAAATATGGGAAAATATGGAGGATATTTTTGTCCCTCACCACCCACCAAACCACCCCAACCCAACCCGAAGGCTCAGATTTACCCTCGATTTCTAGTGGGGGGGGGGTCCGGGGAACATCGAAAAAACACATGTGGAGCCCATACCCCCCCCCAACCCGAAATGCGGGTCTTCAGGTTGGGTTGGGGTGGTCTGGTAGGCAGTCGGTCCCGTCCGCGCTCTTCTGCCTGGCCCTGCCGGGGTCTGCCGCGCCCGCTCCGCTCGGCCCGCTGGCCCTCCCGGGCCTCCGTCCGCTCGGCCTGGCCGGAAGGGGTGGCGCTTCCCTGTCCGACTCCGGCGCCGTCTGCGCCCCGTCCCCGCGGCGCCGCAGCCGGCGTCTGTGGCCCCAGTGTGTCGCTGCGCGCTGCAGGGAGCGCAGCCTTGCCACCGCGCTGCACCAGCGAGGTCTAGTCGCTGTACCCCACTGCTGCGTGGGTGCTCGGGCAACTGGGCTCATGTGGTGCGTTGTGCGCGCAGTAGTGGGGGGGGGGGGGCTGCGATAAGTTGACGGGCAACGAGGGCTGCAGAACAGGGCGTTTTAGGGCCCCTCGAAGGGCCCTTGAGGGCCCAGAAGGGGGCCTGTCAGGGCCCGAAAACGGGCGCCTTTCTTCATCGAGAGCAAGAGAACCCTTAACCTTAATAGCAGGATGAAGACGTGGCCTCGCTGAGGTCCCCGTCTTCGCATTCGATCTAATAATTTTGGGTGGTTTGGTTTGGCACATCTGCAGAACAGAACCCTATCCCAATGTTTATGCCCTCCCAACTGAGGTCCCGCCCCCTCGGGTTAGGGGCCTTTTCTTGGGTTAATCATTTCTTCCCCCATTCATCGCCCCCCATGAATTCGCGCCCAAGTGCGTCGGATGAAACAGATGTGTGCGACTCCCGTGCCCCAGCGCGGCGCTCCACATCGGCATTTCCCTCCCCTCCCCCCCTCCTCTCCCCCCCCTCCCCTTCCCCTCCTCTCCCCCCTCCTCCCCCCCCCTCCCCCCCTCCCCCCCTCCAACCCTCCCCTTCCCCCCCCCTCCCCCTTATCCTCCCCTCCCGCACTCCCTCACCTTTCTCCCCCCCTCCCCCCCCTTTCTTCCCATCCCCTTCCCCCTCCCTCCCTCCCTCCCTCCCTCCCCCCCTTCCGCAATTACTCAATATGAAATACTACTCTCCCTCTTCCCCTGATGACGTCTTGGGAGTGTTCGCCCCCCCCCCCCCCCCCCCGCGTATTGTTTTTTAGACACAGGTTTCCCCGGTTTTGGGTTTTCGCTTGCATTTGTTTCCAAAATGCTGCTCTCGCTGAGGCGCCGGCCTCATTTTCGGGCCCCGCTCGTTCCGAATCGTGCTCCCGCTGCAGCGCTGGCATCATTTCCGCCGGCGCTTGGGCTGCACGCCCGCCCTGAGGTTCGATACCGGTAAAAATAGCAGTTGCAGAAAATATATGCAAAAAATACCGGTTGTGAATCATATATGCAAACATAGCAGTTATGCGCATTTTTATATCATGTTGAGCATATCTGTAAATTAATAAGAGTCCTAAGTCATATCTGCAAAAAATAGCAGTTATAACCCATATCTGCAAAACAAATAGCAGTTATGGCAAATATTTGTAAAACATAGCAGTTAACAGTCAGATCTGCAAAAATAGCAGTATGACATTTTTTATATAAAAATAGCAGTTGTGAGTCATATCTGCATCATGAGCCGTCTCTGGGCCATCTTGAGCCGTCTTGAAGCAGTCTAGTGGGCCGCAGGTGAAACGACCCTTAAGCCTGCCCATCGAATCCGATGAGTTTCCGATGCACTACCAATGAGTTTCCGATGTTTTCCGATGAGTTTGCACTGCGTACGTATCAAATCATGCCCGATCACGTGGTACGCGTTGAACACTGCCACGAGGCCGTCGGGTACACCGCTGCCCGTAGGCGGCGCGGGTTAAGACAATTAGGGGCGCGGCTCGTTGAATAAACGGGCGCCGCGCTTAACATGAAAAAGTAAGTGAAACAGTGAGCGGGGCGAGAGCGTCATTTTGAAAGTACCCGCCCTCCATCCGTGTAGTTGTTCACTGCCCCAGATGCCCCGAACTCTACTGAGGAGGAGGACGGGCGAGGAGGAAATGGCGGAGGAGGAGGAGGAGGACGGGGGCGGACGGCGCGGAGGCGCCTCGCGCGATCAAGGTTGAACGCGCTACGGGGGCCCATCTCGGGCCCCAGTGCTCGCGGGCACGGGGCCGCGGCGCGAAATCTCGATGTTCGGGGACGAACGCCCCGCGCGGTGTCGGAAACCATCGTCCGACGACGACGACGACGACGACGCCTCGCGAGGCGTCGTCGTCGTCGTCGGCGTTCTGGCTCGGTCGATCGCGATCGGCGTTCTGGCTCGATCGAGCATGTTGGGCTATTTCGAGGCCACTAGGAAGGTCAACCTTCCTCCGCGCGCCCAGTTGGCGCGCTTCCGCGGGGCGCGCGCGATGGCGCCCTTCGAGGTTGCCACGCCGCCCGCGACCCCGCGCGCGGGGAAGTCGGCGGAGCCGCCGACGCCCCCGACGACGGCGGCGGCGTCGGCGGTGGAGAGCGCGGCCAGCTCGGCTGCGCCCACGCCGCAGCCAGAGACGGCGCAGGAGACGGCCTCGCCGCCGCCAGAGACGGCGCAGGAGACGGCCACGGAGGCCATCTCTACTCGTCGTCGTCGTCGTCGTCGTCGTCGTCGTCGTCGTCGGCGGCGGCGTCTTCCCCCGTCGTTCCGGCACCGATGGCGACAACGATGACGACGACTACGACGACCACCCATGGGTGGTCGTCGTAGTCGTCGTCGTCGTCGTCGCCGCCGCCGCCGCCGCCGTCGTCGCCGTCGTCGCCGTCGTCGCCGTCGTCGTCGTCGTCGTCGTCGTCGTCGACGACGACGCTCGGCCCTATCCGACGCTCGGCTCTACCGCATGGTTGATGATGGCGCCAGCGACGGGTCCGAGTCGACCCGCGCCGTGTGCACGGACGTGGAGTTGCTGACCAAGGTGCTGCGCCCTGTCATGACGAAACCAGATTTCGTGGTGTGCAAGAGCGACCACTCCTCCTTCCCTGTGTCCAGCGACCAGGCGCCCTTAAGTGCCGACGCTGCGGTGCTCGTCGCGCAGTCGATCAGGCAGCAGGCAGCGCCGAACTTGAGCGTCGGCAAGGTCGCGTGCGAGAACGCGATCGAGTTCTTGGTCACCGAGAAGGCGAAGACAGGAAAGCCGCCCTGGAGTTTGTTCGAGGGCGATTCCAAGAAGCGCTACGTGAGGGACATGACGGCTAGGGTGCGCACGCTGTGCATGCACGCGGGGTCCTTCTACCGCCGCAAGCTCGGCCCCCCTCAGTGGTGCAAGGCCGTCATCGCGGAGCAGGGCTACACCGAAGGCATCAACCTGAACGAGGATCAGGACGAGGAGGAGGACGACGCGGACGAGGAGGACAGCGCGCCCGTCAGCGGAAGGCCGTCAATGCGAGGAGGTTCAGCGGCAGGGGGCGAGGGCGAGCCCGAGGGCACGGGGGCCGCGAAGAAGAGGCCCGCCGCGGCCAAGCCTGCAGGTGACAGCGCAGGTTCCGAGGTGCAGTACGTCTACACATTCGACGAGAACAAGAACTCGGCAGTGCGCATCCAACCGAGCACGCGGCGGGTGGAGCTTTGCGACAGCTCGCGGTCATCCGACCAGGGCGGATTCACGGTTGCCACGTGGGCCGATGGGAAGGAGTGGCGCTACCCAGAGGCGCTGCATCAGCAGAAGGAGAAGCCGAAGAGCGCCAAGAGTGGGCTTCCTTCCAAATACTTACCTGACGGCTCAAAGGTCTACGTCGAGCTGAAGAGAGATCGGGGTCCGAACCACGAGCTCATCCTCATCATGCGCAAGCCCAAGGACGGCACCAAGGAGCAGCAGACGCAGGCGACCACCAGGCACTTCGACAACGAGGAGCATGGCGTCAAGGTGATGACCGAGCGGATCTTAGAGATGTTCGTCCGCGACCCGAAAACTACGAAGCAGCAGGCGATGGCGGCGAAGATGGACCTCCTCAAGGAGATCGAGAAGACTGTCGAAGCGATCTGCCAGAAGGAGGCCGAGAAGTTGGCCAAGCCGGAGGCCGATGCGGCGGCGGCGCCCAAGCGGGGCGCTGCAGCTCGCAAGAGGCCCGCCGCCGCTAAGCCCGCCAACGAGGAGGCGGCGGCCTCCGGCGCCGAGGCGGCGTCGGGCAACGACATGGGCGAGAACGCCGAGGCGGCTTCGGACGGGGAGGTCTACACGGCAGGAGAGGGGGAGGCAGACGCTGCTGCAGGAGGCGCGCCGTCCACTCCCGAGCAGAAGGGCAAGGGCAAGAAGCGCGCCGCACCAGGCACTATCTCGACTTCGAAGGTCCCCATCCAGCGCATCGGCATCGAGAAGGGCATCGCGGGCGCCAAGGCTTCCAAGTCCGCGCAGGGCACCTCCCCGCAGACGGCCATCAAGGGGCCGACGGGCACGCTCATGGGGGACGCGCGCAAGCAGCTGGCGGAGGATGACTCGTCGGACGGTGCCGAGTAGACTGACGGGCTCCGACTTCAGAGAGCCACGATCGGAAAACATGTAGCCCACTCCGCCCTGGCCTCTCGGACCCCCGCCCTCCGCGGCGATCCGACTCCCTCGACTCAGCGATTGCGGGGGTCGCGAGGATAACTCAGCGCGTGACGCGACGTGGCAGTGGAGATAACCGCGACGAGTTTCCGAGGTCGCGAGGATAACGTTGCGCATGGCACGGCGTGGAAGCGGAGATAATCGCGATGAGTGTCCGATGAGTTCCCGATGAGTTTCGATGAGTTTTCCCTTCGGCTCCGATGCGTTTATCGATATATATATATATATATATATAGATGTGTGTGTCGGCGAGCCCCCCACCCCGCCGCCTGATATGGGAAACTTCATTGTCGGCGTCGTCACGTCGTTGTTTATTGTTATTATTGTTATCGCGTCAACATCTGACATCCTACCCCTCCCTCCCATCCCTTCCCATTGCGCTACTTATTTGTCCTCTCACCGAATCGGGTGTCGCATCTGACCCTCATGCATAGCAGGAAGAGGAGGAAGGATGCCTAGGGCGTTGCCCACGGCGGGTTCTCCTGGAGGCCTGGCACCTCGGGCTGCACTCGGCGGGCGGGTTCACCTGCGGGCCTCAGTCCTCGTGCGGGTTGCCCTCGGCGGGCGGGTCCTCCTGCGGGCCTGGCACCTCGTGCGAGTTGTTTGGGTCTGTCGCCTCAAGCGGGTCCTCTGGGGTGTGGGGCGACAAGAGCGGGTCCTCTGGCGTCGGTGGGATCGTGGTGTAAGTTGGTGACGTCATCACGCCACTGGCCCAGCGCCTCAAAGGCCTCGCGGGGCTCTCGTCTTGCTCCTGGAGCGCCGAAGCCTGCGAGCGCGGGCTGCTCGTGTCGGGGTCGAAGCTGCCGCCGCTCTTGCTCTTGCCCTTGCCCGTCAAGCTGTCGCCGCTCTTGCCCTTGCCCGTCGAGCTGTCGCCGCTCTTGCCCTTGCTCTTGTTCTTGCCCTTGTACGTGAGCAGATCTGCCGCCGCCACGTCGGCTTCTGTGATGTCGTCGGTGTAGCGCTTGTCGTGCAGCCACGATGGGAGACGGCTCAAGAGGCTAATCTCGTCCTGTGACAAGATGCTGAGCTTGTCCTTGCCCTTCTGCTCGTCGCTGTTGCCCTTGCCCTTCTGCTTGCCCTGCTGCGTGTCGTCGTCGCCCTTCTGGCCGTCTGTCACGAACTGGCAGGGCTGTCCGAGCTTGATCGGGCAGCTTTCACTTGGCCTCCCAGAGAAACCCTGGTAGACTCCGCAAATCAAGCGTGCGAGTGCCGAGCTTGATGCCGACCGTGATGCCGACCGTGGGCAGTGGCCGTCGTTGGGGCCGTCGCCGTCGCCTTCGTTGGGCCCGTCGCCCGTCTGGCTCTTGAGCACTCTGCGGCATTTGAGCGCGTGCGGGCTCCAGGGCTCCAGATCAGGCGCGTGTGGGGCCCAGGGATCTAGTAGCCGAAATAGATACGGACGGCAGGCTTCGCACCGAGGCGAGAGCGCCCCCTCGGAACGGCCGAAGACGGTCCGAGTGGCCTCCAGCGGTCGCTCGGGACGATGCGGGCGCCCTCAGACTTGCCTCCAGCGAGGCGCGGCAGTGGGGGGGGGGGCACCGAGACATCCTCGATCCTCGATTCTGTTTTTCGGTTGTTGCCTTTCGGGGCCTCCTGGACCCCCTCGCGCCTACGGCTGGATCCGCCTCGCAATTCAAATCGAAGCGCCCTCCTGGGAAACAACCCGAGCCTCGATCCTCCATCATCGACTCTCGAGTTTGACGGCCGTTTCGGGCCTCGAGGGGCCTCCTCGTGCCTACGGCTGGGTCCGCCTCGAAATTGAAATCGACGCGCTCCTCGGGTAAAAAAAACACCTCGGGTCTCGATCCTCGATCCTCGACTCTCGAGTGTTTCTGTCGTGTTTGTAGTATTGGTGGAGGGGAGGGAGCATCCCCCTCGCCGATACAGGACGGCCTGCACGTCGAGGACTTGCCCGACCGCCAGGACAGCTGGTCAGAGCGCTGGGCCCGCAGCACGGACGGTGCAGTCGAAAGCTGCCGTGGGAGGGGGTGAGGTGGCGAGGAAGGAGGTGAGGGTTAGGAGGTTGATGAAGGGGGAGGGAATGAGGGGTGAGGAGGAGATGTGGAGGGCTGAGACCGCCCCTTCCTCCCGCCCGATACTCGGGTGGGGGGTTCGGACATGGGTGCGTGGGAGGAGTCGTGGCGACGGTGGTTTTCGCCGTCGGCAGGACACCCCGCGTGCGGATGAGGGCGCTGATGCACCGCCTGAATCATCGTCGGCGGCAGCGGCGTCGTCGGCAGGACCAGCGCTGGACGGCGTGGCGAGCATCGGCCTGCAGCAGGCGAACCTCGGGGCCATCGGCCTGGCCCAGGCCGACACCGCCGCGCTGGGCATCTCGCAGATCGACGGGGCGGCGATCGGGCTGGAGCAGGCGAACCTCAAGGGCCTCGGCATCAGCCAGCTGGGCGACGCCGCCGCGGGGCCGAGCGGGGCGTCGCTAGGCGTCTCGCTGCCTGAGAACCCGTCCGAGGGCTCAGGCGGGCTGCAGCTCGGCTTCCTGGCGAAGAGGCTCAACGAGTTGGCGAAGGGCTGCGAGGCGCCGCCCGCGACCAGGGCGCAGGAAAGCCCCGACGACGAGCAGCCCGATAAGGTGATCGAGGAGGCGTGGAGGACGAGGATCGCGAAGTCGAGGACGGCGATTGCCAGCAAGTACGACCGCTTCAAGAAGGGCAGCGCAGAGGAGCAGGCGAAGTACAAGAATGCGCAGGGCCACGTCGGCAAGGAGAACTGCATCCTCGAGTGGGTCGACAAGCAGTGGAACGCCTACCAAGAGCGCAGGTTGGGAGCGACGACGACGACGACAACGATGACGACGACTACGACGACCACCCATGGGTGGTCGTCGTAGTCGTCGTCGTCGTCGTCGCCGCCGCCGCCGCCGCCGCCGACAGGTCTAAGAGGAAGACCAACACGGAGGCCCACCTGGAGTGGGGGACCCACGAGCCGTTCGAGGTCATCGCAGGCAAGGAGTCGGGGGTCGGCATCGCAGAGACGGGGGCGATGGCGGCACTGAACACAGTCTTGGCGTGCCAGAAGCTGGGGTACCCCTGGGTGCAGTGGAACAGCTTCACCAAGCGCGCCGAGTACCTCTACTGCAAGTCGGGCTTCAAGAACAAGTTCGAGACGGCGTGGACGCAGTGCCAGGAGCAGACGGGCGTGCAGGACGACCTGGCGCTCGACTTCCTGAAGGGGGGGGGGGGGGCACGACACGCTGGGCGGTGGCCAGCCGAGCCAGGCTCAGACGGGCGCAGCCGCGCAGCAGGAGAGCGAGGCCAAGCAGCAGGCGGCGGACGAGAAGAAAGCCGCCGCCGTTGCCAAGCAGAAGGAGGCGGAGGCGACGAAAGCAAAGGAGGCGGAGGAGAAGCAAGCAAAGGAGGCGGAGGCGAAGGCTAAGGCAGCGGTCAAGGCCGCTGCAAGGGGCGCCAGGCGGACGAGGGGCGACCGCGGCGGCACGGCGACGCCGCCACCTGAGCCAGCTGGTGACGACGCTCCCCACCCGAAGCAGGCCAAAAAGGACGCGAAAAGAAGCTCGACGACTTTCGCACGCTGATTAGCCTGCACGGACAGGAGCTCACGTCTGGCAAGATGATCTTGCGCAACATCGGCACGGTGGCATCGTGGGAGCCCTTGGCGGACGAGAGGATGAGCGGGGATCTCCGCAGGGCAGTCGAGGCGCTGGAGAACACGAGCACCACCAACGCGCTCGTGGCGCAGCTGGTGACGCAGAAGTTCGACGCAGTGAGGGCATACGTCGGGGATGCAGATTTCGACAAGCAGATCGACCAGATCACGTCGATCCTGAAGCCCAAGGTGGATAAGCTGAACGCAGAGGTGGACGCCTTGAACCAGATGCACGCTCTGGTCGTGAAGAAGGCACAGGGCGGCAGGTAGTCGGAGGCAGCCTTGACGACGGCCTCTTGACGAGGCCTCTTGACGAGGCCTCTTGACGTTCGGCTGCAGAGCGGTCGATTCGCCCGCCGACCAGTGCCGCGTAGTTAAGGGGGGGAGAGTTGGGAGGAGAGGAGGAGGAGGAGGAGGAGGAGGAAGGAGAGGAGGAGGAGGAGGAGGAGGAGGAGGAGGAGAGGAGGAGGAGGGGGAGGAGGAGGAGGAGGAGGAGGAGGAGGAGGAGGAGGAGGAGGGAGGGAGGAGGAGGAGGAGGAGGAGGAGAGGAGGAGGAGGAGGAAGGAAGGAGGAGGAGAGGGAGAAGGAGGAGGAGGGAGAGGGGGAGGGGGAGGGGGAGTCCCCATTGGGGGAAGGGGGAGGGGAAGTACGGGGGGGAGGGAAGGGAGGGGGTGGAGGTGAAGGGGGCGGCAAACCAGAAGCTGGCGGCGGGCCCGCGATTCGGGGTACACTGAACAGCCTGCTGCGGTGAGACAGCAAGCGCTGGGTCGGGTAAAGCTCGATCGGATGCGAAAATCTCGGATCGGATGCGAAAATTCTGAACTCGAACCCGATCGGACCGAACAATTCGGGCCCGACCGCGATCGGAGGCGACGAAACCACCGATGAAATACCGGTGAGTTTCCGGTGAGTTTCCGATGAGTTTTGATGAGTTTCGCTCTAACACTATAAATTCAAAGGGATTGTAGCGATGCGTTTCCGATGAGTTTCCGATGAGTTTTGATGAGTTTTAAATATTCAGAATTTTGTGTTGCGCCACTCCGATCGCGGTCGGGCACCCCCCGTTTCGGTTCGGAGACGCCTCGGGTGGTCAGTTTCGGTTTCGGGTGCGCTTCGGGTGGATCTGGCGCGGGCCCGAGGGGTCGCTGCGGCACCTCGGCGAGGCGCAGCTGTCCGTGGAGCGCCCGTTTCGGTTTCCAGGGCGTCTTGGGGGCGCTGGTACGGGCCCGACGGCTAGTAGTTGCAGCGCCAGGGGGCGGGGTGCAGGGGCCCGTAGGGTTCGGCTCGAG